ACCACGAAAATGAAACAACAACCACAACAAAACGAAACAGAACACACACAGAAAAATTAAAGACGTGCGAAAGGAGATGGGCTGCTCATTGACCTTTAGGTTAGTGGTGGCTCCTAAAGGAGCCGTTAGTGTTTGTTCGATGACCAAGCGACTGTACTAAGCCCGCTCGCCACGAATCCTTCGAGCCAACTGGATATCCTTCGGCATGATGGTTACGCGTTTGGCGTGGATGGCGCACAGATTGGTATCTTCGAACAGACCCACCAAGTAAGCTTCGCTAGCCTCTTGGAGCGCTAGTACAGCGGAACTTTGGAATCGCAGATCGGTTTTGAAATCCTGCGCGATCTCCCGCACAAGCCGTTGAAAGGGCAACTTGCGGATAAGTAACTCCGTAGACTTCTGATAACGACGGATTTCACGGAGTGCAACTGTGCCTGGTCTGTAACGGTGAGGTTTCTTCACGCCACCCGTAGCGGGAGCACTCTTGCGGGCCGCCTTAGTGGCTAACTGTTTACGAGGAGCTTTTCCACCTGTTGATTTCCGGGCGGTTTGCTTGGTACGAGCCATAGCTAACAAGATTGGAGGCTTCAGTCTCGTAATTTCTTCAGAAATTTTACGCTTTTCTCGCGATCTCCTGTGACAAAACCGATTTTATAACAAGCGCTCAACGATCCGATTGGTTATCAAAAGTTTGCTTGTGATTGGCTGCGGTGAATTTCTTTGTTCGGGTACTCTTTTTTTTTTTTTTTTTCCGAGGATGAGGCGGAAAGTAAATTTTAGTAAACTCTGACCTGCAACTTTTCTCAAAACTGCCCTCGGTTTTCAGTCGCTCGCTTTCGGTGAGTACTCTCGAAAAAAGTAATAAACTAATTAGTGAGTGAGTGAGTGAGTGAGACTGAATTTGACCATGGATTACTTTGAAGGTTGTGAGTCATTTTCGCTATCCTTTAGCGTGGCCGTGTAGATAGGTGATAATGGTATTCATAAGTCGGCATTTGGCCTGGCTTTCTTGTCAATTGGAAATGTGACGTTTCCCGAGAGGTCCAGCCACACATCTCAAGTTTTGTTCAGGGCCGACAACAATTGCATCCGTAACATTCGAAAAAAAAAAAAAAATCATGTCTGGACGCGGCAAAGGAGGTAAAGGGCTTGGAAAAGGAGGCGCCAAGCGCCATCGAAAGATTCTGCGAGACAACATCCAGGGAATCACCAAGCCAGCAATCCGACGTCTGGCTCGCCGCGGTGGTGTCAAGCGTATTTCCGGGCTCATTTACGAAGAGACCCGCGGAGTCCTCAAAGTCTTCCTGGAAAACGTTATCCGTGATGCTGTGACTTACACCGAACACGCCAAACGGAAGACCGTTACCGCAATGGATGTGGTCTACGCCCTTAAACGCCAAGGCCGTACCCTATACGGTTTTGGCGGGTAGAGAATCACGGAAACCTCAGAGAACTGATAAACGGCTCCTTTAGAGCCACCACCACCTCATGCGAAAGTCGTGATCAGCCACAGTGATGGTCAAACCCTGTGTTTGAACAACGAGTCAAAGGGCGATATTTTTCTGCTCTCAACGTTTCTCCTAATCCTTGTGTTAGCGTTAATGCAGTGTAACTCGAGTCGCTTGTCGTGGTGTGCCAAATAGTCTCTCGTTCCAACAGGGAACTGGGATGGCAGGAAATAGGAAGTAGTAAATTGGGTTTCAAAAGCCGTGCAAAGCTGGGTTCAGCGAACGTTCTACTCAAATTCTATTACGTTTCCACGCAATGGAACCACGCGTGATCGCACCGTTCTCCAAGTACGTTAGTTCTGATCATTAACACATTTCATTAACACACACATTTCGAGTCGCTTGTCTTGCTATGCAAAATTAGCCCCAAAAAGCCCCAATAAAAATAGCCCCAATAAAAGTACCTCGTTCCTTATTGGAACAGGGGATGGCAAGAATAGAAAAGATTAAAGCGGGTTTGCAACAACCACGCAAACTTGTGATCAGCGATCGTACCATTCAAACTCAAATGCGTTTCTCTGTCTTGACAGGTAGGAAAGCAGTTTATGCAATTCGCAAATTCCACACTCCAACAATTGAAAGAGAGAGAGACAAGAGCGGGCTGCAAATGTGTCGAGGCATTTTGCAAATCAAATTACCGTCGTCCAACCAAACGAAAGGAAAACAAAGTCGCCGGCAATGTTTCCAAAAAAACCCAAAGCTGATTTGAATTGTCTTTCATTCCGTCTGTTTGATTTTTATTTGCTTTTTATTTCTTTTACTAGTTTGGGATCAAAAATACGGAATGTAAGCGATGGACACTAGCTGAACTGAAACGATTTGTTTTGATCGATAACAAAGTAAAGACGCGAGCGCTTGTGTGTGCATGTACGAGTGTCAATTGGAGTAAATGGATTTTTTTTTTCTGATCACGACTTTTTCGAGGTTTGGTGGCTCCTAAAGGAGCCGTTTTTATGGTTTGATGTTGTCAATGGTGCTTCTTCTCGGCCTTCTTGGGTAGCAGCACGGCCTGTATGTTGGGAAGAACACCGCCCTGGGCGATCGTTACACCAGCTAGAAGTTTGTTCAATTCCTCGTCGTTTCGGACGGCCAACTGCAGGTGTCTGGGAATGATTCTGGTCTTCTTGTTGTCACGAGCGGCGTTTCCGGCTAACTCTAAATTTCAGCACTTAGATACTCGAGCACAGCGGCCAAGTACACAGGAGCACCCGCCCCGACACGCTCTGCATAGTTTCCTTTGCGAAGGAGTCGGTGGATGCGGCCGACTGGAAACTGAAGACCTGCTCGGCTGGACCTGCTCTTTGCCTTGGTGCCCGACGCTTTTCCTTTCCCTCGGCCGGTCATTTTAGTTTTCTCTCTCGCAAACTAGCTCGTGCTAGGACACACACTGAAATCCAACGATTTTGTTGTTCAAATTGTGACGCGTTCCGAGTCGTGACGCCGTACTTATCTCGCGGCTCGCGCGCGCTAAAGGATCGAAACCCTCAATCAAAATTAATTCCGCCCTCTGTTGCCTCGTAGTCTTTTGTTCCTTTCACAGCTGTATCTGAGCCAATCGCTTCAAAGAGAATTTTCGTCGGCATACTAATTGATCCTCAACAATGGACCTTAAATAGGGAGTCAATTCTCCTGTCTAGTCACACACCTCAGTCTATTTTTGAGCGAACGGTGATAGATTTTTCTAGACATGGCACCAAAAGTTCCCGCGGCCGGAAAAGGCGAGAAGAGAGCCGGCAAGGCTAAATCAGCCCCGACGGACCCTGGCAAGAAAAAGAAGAGAAGCAAGAGAAAGGAGAGCTATGCGATCTACATCTACAAAGTGTTGAAACAGGTGCACCCCGACACCGGTATCTCCAGCAAAGCCATGGGTATCATGAACTCGTTTGTCAACGATGTCTTTGAACGCATCGCGACCGAATCCTCGCGGCTCGCGCACTACAACAAGAAATCCACCATCAGCTCTCGCGAAATCCAGACCGCCATTAGGTTACTGTTACCGGGCGAACTCGCAAAACACGCAGTAAGCGAGGGTACAAAAGCAGTCACCAAATATACAAGCAGCAAGTGAACTGCCCGACCTCACAAACAAACGGCTCCTTTAGGAGCCAACACATGTCATGAAAGTAAATGTCCAACATTGTTGTTGTTTTTGTTGTTGTTCTTGTTGTTGTTCTTGTTGTTGTTCTTGTTCTTGTTGTTGTTCTTGTTCTTGTTGTTGTTCTTGTTCTTGTTCTTGTTCTTGTTCTTGTTCTTGTTCTTGTTCTTGTTCTTGTTCTTGTTCTTGTTCTTGTTCTTGTTCTTGTTCTTGTTCTTGTTTTTCTTTCTTTCTTTCTTTCTTTCTTTCTTTCTTTCTTTCCTTTTTTCTTTCTTTCCTTTTTTTCGAGGTACGTAAATGTTGGAGCTCGAAGCAGATCGATCCAGGAAGGAACTCTAAAAATACTTCTCGCCAAAAAGAGTTTTGACCGATTTCCCTTTCACTGTTCACAGATTTGGTGCCAAAGCGAGAACTGTTTTTAGACTTACTAAAATTTCTTCCGAATGAAATCAAGAATTCCCGACCCAAAAAAAATTTTATATTTCCCAGAATGCATTGCGAAAAAAAGCCTCATTAATATGTATTACATCCTTCCCCAGTTGTTGTTGTTCTTTCTTTCCATTTCGAATCTCTGATTTTTATTCAGTCAAACTCAGTTTCAGTGAACATGTTTTGCTGGTGCGAATGAGTTATTAATCTAGTACAAAAGGCAGGTGCATGGGGGCGTATCCGTTGGTAATAGCTAACTTGCTTTTGGCAAGTAAGGAACATGAAAAGGCAACAACATTGAATTAAAAGTCGGAACCAATTATACGAACGACTGAAAGCGCAATTGGAGACCTTTATGTTTGTCTGGTACAAACAAACACACGCTGTTACCGAACGGTAATAACGTAGAGATTGAGGTAATTGCGCCTGCTTAAAAAGAGGCTCTTGTTCTTGTTCTTTGTTTTTTTTTTGTTTTTTTTTTTTTTTTTTTGCCAAGTAGGAACAAGAAAAGACAGCGGCAATGAATTGAAACGTCGTTACAAATTATACGAACGGCTGAAAGCGCAAAATGGTGACCTTTATGTTTGTCTAGTTCGAGCAAACTCACGGAAAACGCATCAAAACAGTTGACCTCCGTCGCTGCTCACTTTCTGTCAAATTTTTGTCGCGAATCAAACCGAGAGTCGATCGCTCGCTTTTTGTCTACGTCGACATTTTTTCTGCAGAGGCAGGTCACCTTTGGAGATGTGGTCATTGATTTTCTCTGTTGCTTCATGACAATAATGCGAGTTTTTCACTCACGTAACAAAAACCACGAAAATGAAACAACAACCACAACAAAACGAAACAGAACACACACAGAAAAAAATTAAAGACGTGCGAAAGGAGATGGGCTGCTCATTGACCTTTAGGTTAGTGGTGGCTCCTAAAGGAGCCGTTAGTGTTTGTTCGATGACCAAGCGACTGTACTAAGCCCGCTCGCCACGAATCCTTCGAGCCAACTGGATATCCTTCGGCATGATGGTTACGCGTTTGGCGTGGATGGCGCACAGATTGGTATCTTCGAACAGACCCACCAAGTAAGCTTCGCTAGCCTCTTGGAGCGCTAGTACAGCGGAACTTTGGAATCGCAGATCGGTTTTGAAATCCTGCGCGATCTCCCGCACAAGCCGTTGAAAGGGCAACTTGCGGATAAGTAACTCCGTAGACTTCTGATAACGACGGATTTCACGGAGTGCAACTGTGCCTGGTCTGTAACGGTGAGGTTTCTTCACGCCACCCGTAGCGGGAGCACTCTTGCGGGCCGCCTTAGTGGCTAACTGTTTACGAGGAGCTTTTCCACCTGTTGATTTCCGGGCGGTTTGCTTGGTACGAGCCATAGCTAACAAGATTGGAGGCTTCAGTCTCGTAATTTCTTCAGAAATTTTACGCTTTTCTCGCGATCTCCTGTGACAAAACCGATTTTATAACAAGCGCTCAACGATCCGATTGGTTATCCAAAGTTTGCTTGTGATTGGCTGCGGTGAATTTCTTTGTTCGGGTACTCTTTTTTTTTTTTCCGAGGATGAGGCGGAAAGTAAATTTTAGTAAACTCTGACCTGCAACTTTTCTCAAAACTGCCCTCGGTTTTCAGTCGCTCGCTTTCGGTGAGTACTCTCGAAAAAGTAATAAACTAATTAGTGAGTGAGTGAGTGAGTGAGACTGAATTTGACCATGGATTACTTTGAAGGTTGTGAGTCATTTTCGCTATCCTTTAGCGTGGCCGTGTAGATAGGTGATAATGGTATTCATAAGTCGGCATTTGGCCTGGCTTTCTTGTCAATTGGAAATGTGACGTTTCCCGAGAGGTCCAGCCACACATCTCAAGTTTTGTTCAGGGCCGACAACAATTGCATCCGTAACATTCGAAAGAAAAAAACAAATCATGTCTGGACGCGGCAAAGGAGGTAAAGGGCTTGGAAAAGGAGGCGCCAAGCGCCATCGAAAGATTCTGCGAGACAACATCCAGGGAATCACCAAGCCAGCAATCCGACGTCTGGCTCGCCGCGGTGGTGTCAAGCGTATTTCCGGGCTCATTTACGAAGAGACCCGCGGAGTCCTCAAAGTCTTCCTGGAAAACGTTATCCGTGATGCTGTGACTTACACCGAACACGCCAAACGGAAGACCGTTACCGCAATGGATGTGGTCTACGCCCTTAAACGCCAAGGCCGTACCCTATACGGTTTTGGCGGGTAGAGAATCACGGAAACCTCAGAGAACTGATAAACGGCTCCTTTAGGAGCCACCACCTCATGCGAAAGTCGTGATCAGCCACAGTGATGGTCAAACCCTGTGTTTGAACAACGAGTCAAAGGGCGATATTTTTCTGCTCTCAACGTTTCTCCTAATCCTTGTGTTAGCGTTAATGCAGTGTAACTCGAGTCGCTTGTCGTGGTGTGCCAAATAGTCTCTCGTTCCAACAGGGAACTGGGATGGCAGGAAATAGGAAGTAGTAAATTGGGTTTCAAAAGCCGTGCAAAGCTGGGTTCAGCGAACGTTCTACTCAAATTCTATTACGTTTCCACGCAATGGAACCACGCGTGATCGCACCGTTCTCCAAGTACGTTAGTTCTGATCATTAACACATTTCATTAACACACACATTTCGAGTCGCTTGTCTTGCTATGCAAAATTAGCCCCAAAAAAGCCCCAATAAAAATAGCCCCAATAAAAGTACCTCGTTCCTTATTGGAACGGGGATGGCAAGGAATAGAAAAGATTAAAGCGGGTTTGCAACAACCACGCAAACTTGTGATCAGCGATCGTACCATTCAAACTCAAATGCGTTTCTCTGTCTTGACAGGTAGGAAAGCAGTTTATGCAATTCATAAATTCCACACTCCAACAATTGAAAGAGAGAGACAAGAAGAGCGGGCTGCAAATGTGTCGAGGCATTTTGCAAATCAAATTACCGTCGTCCAACCAAACGAAAGGAAAACAAAGTCGCCGGCAATGTTTCCAAAAAAAAACCAAAGCTGATTTGAATTGTCTTTCATTCCGTCTGTTTGATTTTTATTTGCTTTTTATTTCTTTTACTAGTTTGGGATCAAAAATACGGAATGTAAGCGATGGACACTAGCTGAACTGAAACGATTTGTTTTGATCGATAACAAAGTAAAGACGCGAGCGCTTGTGTGTGCATGTACGAGTGTCAATTGGAGTAAATGGATTTTTCACTGATCACGACTTTTTCGAGGTTTGGTGGCTCCTAAAGGAGCCGTTTTATGGTTTGATGTTGTCAATGGTGCTTCTTCTCGGCCTTCTTGGGTAGCAGCACGGCCTGTATGTTGGGAAGAACACCGCCCTGGGCGATCGTTACACCAGCTAGAAGTTTGTTCAATTCCTCGTCGTTTCGGACGGCCAACTGCAGGTGTCTGGGAATGATTCTGGTCTTCTTGTTGTCACGAGCGGCGTTTCCGGCTAACTCTAGAATTTCAGCACTTAGATACTCGAGCACAGCGGCCAAGTACACAGGAGCACCCGCCCCGACACGCTCTGCATAGTTTCCTTTGCGAAGGAGTCGGTGGATGCGGCCGACTGGAAACTGAAGACCTGCTCGGCTGGACCTGCTCTTTGCCTTGGTGCCCGACGCTTTTCCTTTCCCTCGGCCGGTCATTTTAGTTTTCTCTCTCGCAAACTAGCTCGTGCTAGGACACACACTGAAATCCAACGATTTTGTTGTTCAAATTGTGACGCGTTCCGAGTCGTGACGCCGTACTTATCTCGCGGCTCGCGCGCGCAAAGGGATCGAAACCCTCAATCAAAATTAATTCCGCCCTCTGTTGCCTCGTAGTCTTTTGTTCCTTTCACAGCTGTATCTGAGCCAATCGCTTCAAAGAGAATTTTCGTCGGCATACTAATTGATCCTCAACAATGGACCTTAAATAGGAGTCAATTCTCCTGTCTAGTCACACACCTCAGTCTATTTTTGAGCGAACGGTGATAGATTTTTCTAGACATGGCACCAAAAGTTCCCGCGGCCGGAAAAGGCGAGAAGAGAGCCGGCAAGGCTAAATCAGCCCCGACGGACCCTGGCAAGAAAAAGAAGAGAAGCAAGAGAAAGGAGAGCTATGCGATCTACATCTACAAAGTGTTGAAACAGGTGCACCCCGACACCGGTATCTCCAGCAAAGCCATGGGTATCATGAACTCGTTTGTCAACGATGTCTTTGAACGCATCGCGACCGAATCCTCGCGGCTCGCGCACTACAACAAGAAATCCACCATCAGCTCTCGCGAAATCCAGACCGCCATTAGGTTACTGTTACCGGGCGAACTCGCAAAACACGCAGTAAGCGAGGGTACAAAAGCAGTCACCAAATATACAAGCAGCAAGTGAACTGCCCGACCTCACAAACAAACGGCTCCTTTAGGAGCCAACACATGTCATGAAAGTAAATGTCCAACATTGTTGTTGTTTTTGTTGTTGTTCTTGTTGTTGTTCTTGTTGTTGTTCTTGTTCTTGTTGTTGTTCTTGTTCTTGTTGTTGTTCTTGTTCTTGTTCTTGTTCTTGTTCTTGTTCTTGTTCTTGTTCTTGTTCTTGTTCTTGTTCTTGTTCTTGTTCTTGTTCTTGTTTTTCTTTCTTTCTTTCTTTCTTTCTTTCTTTCTTTCTTTCCTTTTTTCTTTCTTTCCTTTTTTTCGAGGTACGTAAATGTTGGAGCTCGAAGCAGATCGATCCAGGAAGGAACTCTAAAAATACTTCTCGCCAAAAAGAGTTTTGACCGATTTCCCTTTCACTGTTCACAGATTTGGTGCCAAAGCGAGAACTGTTTTTAGACTTACTAAAATTTCTTCCGAATGAAATCAAGAATTCCCGACCCAAAAAAAATTTTATATTTCCCAGAATGCATTGCGAAAAAAAGCCTCATTAATATGTATTACATCCTTCCCCAGTTGTTGTTGTTCTTTCTTTCCATTTCGAATCTCTGATTTTTATTCAGTCAAACTCAGTTTCAGTGAACATGTTTTGCTGGTGCGAATGAGTTATTAATCTAGTACAAAAGGCAGGTGCATGGGGGCGTATCCGTTGGTAATAGCTAACTTGCTTTTGGCAAGTAAGGAACATGAAAAGGCAACAACATTGAATTAAAAGTCGGAACCAATTATACGAACGACTGAAAGCGCAATTGGAGACCTTTATGTTTGTCTGGTACAAACAAACACACGCTGTTACCGAACGGTAATAACGTAGAGATTGAGGTAATTGCGCCTGCTTAAAAAGAGGCTCTTGTTCTTGTTCTTTGTTTTTTTTTTTTTATTTTTTTTTTTTTTTTTGCCAAGTAAGGAACAAGAAAAGACAGCGGCAATGAATTGAAACGTCGTTACAAATTATACGAACGGCTGAAAGCGCAAAATGGTGACCTTTATGTTTGTCTAGTTCGAGCAAACTCACGGAAAACGCATCAAAACAGTTGACCTCCGTCGCTGCTCACTTTCTGTCAAATTTTTGTCGCGAATCAAACCGAGAGTCGATCGCTCGCTTTTTGTCTACGTCGACATTTTTTCTGCAGAGGCAGGTCACCTTTGGAGATGTGGTCATTGATTTTCTCTGTTGCTTCATGACAATAATGCGAGTTTTTCACTCACGTAACAAAAACCACGAAAATGAAACAACAACCACAACAAAACGAAACAGAACACACACAGAAAAATTAAAGACGTGCGAAAGGAGATGGGCTGCTCATTGACCTTTAGGTTAGTGGTGGCTCCTAAAGGAGCCGTTAGTGTTTGTTCGATGACCAAGCGACTGTACTAAGCCCGCTCGCCACGAATCCTTCGAGCCAACTGGATATCCTTCGGCATGATGGTTACGCGTTTGGCGTGGATGGCGCACAGATTGGTATCTTCGAACAGACCCACCAAGTAAGCTTCGCTAGCCTCTTGGAGCGCTAGTACAGCGGAACTTTGGAATCGCAGATCGGTTTTGAAATCCTGCGCGATCTCCCGCACAAGCCGTTGAAAGGGCAACTTGCGGATAAGTAACTCCGTAGACTTCTGATAACGACGGATTTCACGGAGTGCAACTGTGCCTGGTCTGTAACGGTGAGGTTTCTTCACGCCACCCGTAGCGGGAGCACTCTTGCGGGCCGCCTTAGTGGCTAACTGTTTACGAGGAGCTTTTCCACCTGTTGATTTCCGGGCGGTTTGCTTGGTACGAGCCATAGCTAACAAGATTGGAGGCTTCAGTCTCGTAATTTCTTCAGAAATTTTACGCTTTTCTCGCGATCTCCTGTGACAAAACCGATTTTATAACAAGCGCTCAACGATCCGATTGGTTATCCAAAGTTTGCTTGTGATTGGCTGCGGTGAATTTCTTTGTTCGGGTACTCTTTTTTTTTTTTTTTTTTTCCGAGGATGAGGCGGAAAGTAAATTTTAGTAAACTCTGACCTGCAACTTTTCTCAAAACTGCCCTCGGTTTTCAGTCGCTCGCTTTCGGTGAGTACTCTCGAAAAAAGTAATAAACTAATTAGTGAGTGAGTGAGTGAGTGAGAGACTGACTTTGACCATGGATTACTTTGAAGGTTGTGAGTCATTTTCGCTATCCTTTAGCGTGGCCGTGTAGATAGGTGATAATGGTATTCATAAGTCGGCATTTGGCCTGGCTTTCTTGTCAATTGGAAATGTGACGTTTCCCGAGGGTCCAGCCACACATCTCAAGTTTTGTTCAGGGCCGACAACAATTGCATCCGTAACATTCGAAAAAAAAAAACAAATCATGTCTGGACGCGGCAAAGGAGGTAAAGGGCTTGGAAAAGGAGGCGCCAAGCGCCATCGAAAGATTCTGCGAGACAACATCCAGGGAATCACCAAGCCAGCAATCCGACGTCTGGCTCGCCGCGGTGGTGTCAAGCGTATTTCCGGGCTCATTTACGAAGAGACCCGCGGAGTCCTCAAAGTCTTCCTGGAAAACGTTATCCGTGATGCTGTGACTTACACCGAACACGCCAAACGGAAGACCGTTACCGCAATGGATGTGGTCTACGCCCTTAAACGCCAAGGCCGTACCCTATACGGTTTTGGCGGGTAGAAATCACGGAAACCTCAGAGAACTGATAAACGGCTCCTTTAGGAGCCACCACCTCATGCGAAAGTCGTGATCAGCCACAGTGATGGTCAAACCCTGTGTTTGAACAACGAGTCAAAGGGCGATATTTTCTGCTCTCAACGTTTCTCCTAATCCTTGTGTTAGCGTTAATGCAGTGTAACTCGAGTCGCTTGTCGTGGTGTGCCAAATAGTCTCTCGTTCCAACAGGGAACTGGGATGGCAGGAAATAGGAAGTAGTAAATTGGGTTTCAAAAGCCGTGCAAAGCTGGGTTCAGCGAACGTTCTACTCAAATTCTATTACGTTTCCACGCAATGGAACCACGCGTGATCGCACCGTTCTCCAAGTACGTTAGTTCTGATCATTAACACATTTCATTAACACACACATTTCGAGTCGCTTGTCTTGCTATGCAAAATTAGCCCCAAAAAGCCCCAATAAAAATAGCCCCAATAAAAGTACCTCGTTCCTTATTGGAACAGGGGATGGCAAGAATAGAAAAGATTAAAGCGGGTTTGCAACAACCACGCAAACTTGTGATCAGCGATCGTACCATTCAAACTCAAATGCGTTTCTCTGTCTTGACAGGTAGGAAAGCAGTTTATGCAATTCATAAATTCCACACTCCAACAATTGAAAGAGAGAGACAAGAGCGGGCTGCAAATGTGTCGAGGCATTTTGCAAATCAAATTACCGTCGTCCAACCAAACGAAAGGAAAACAAAGTCGCCGGCAATGTTTCCAAAAAAAAAAGCTGATTTGAATTGTCTTTCATTCCGTCTGTTTGATTTTTATTTGCTTTTTATTTCTTTTACTAGTTTGGGATCAAAAATACGGAATGTAAGCGATGGACACTAGCTGAACTGAAACGATTTGTTTTGATCGATAACAAAGTAAAGACGCGAGCGCTTGTGTGTGCATGTACGAGTGTCAATTGGAGTAAATGGATTTTTCACTGATCACGACTTTTTCGAGGTTTGGTGGCTCCTAAAGGAGCCGTTTTTATGGTTTGATGTTGTCAATGGTGCTTCTTCTCGGCCTTCTTGGGTAGCAGCACGGCCTGTATGTTGGGAAGAACACCGCCCTGGGCGATCGTTACACCAGCTAGAAGTTTGTTCAATTCCTCGTCGTTTCGGACGGCCAACTGCAGGTGTCTGGGAATGATTCTGGTCTTCTTGTTGTCACGAGCGGCGTTTCCGGCTAACTCTAGAATTTCAGCACTTAGATACTCGAGCACAGCGGCCAAGTACACGGAGCACCCGCCCCGACACGCTCTGCATAGTTTCCTTTGCGAAGGAGTCGGTGGATGCGGCCGACTGGAAACTGAAGACCTGCTCGGCTGGACCTGCTCTTTGCCTTGGTGCCCGACGCTTTTCCTTTCCCTCGGCCGGTCATTTTAGTTTTCTCTCTCGCAAACTAGCTCGTGCTAGGACACACACTGAAATCCAACGATTTTGTTGTTCAAATTGTGACGCGTTCCGAGTCGTGACGCCGTACTTATCTCGCGGCTCGCGCGCGCAAGGGATCGAAACCCTCAATCAAAATTAATTCCGCCCTCTGTTGCCTCGTAGTCTTTTGTTCCTTTCACAGCTGTATCTGAGCCAATCGCTTCAAAGAAATTTTCGTCGGCATACTAATTGATCCTCAACAATGGACCTTAAATAGGGAGTCAATTCTCCTGTCTAGTCACACACCTCAGTCTATTTTTGAGCGAACGGTGATAGATTTTTTCTAGACATGGCACCAAAAGTTCCCGCGGCCGGAAAAGGCGAGAAGAGAGCCGGCAAGGCTAAATCAGCCCCGACGGACCCTGGCAAGAAAAAAAAGAGAAGCAAGAAGAAAGGAGAGCTATGCGATCTACATCTACAAAGTGTTGAAACAGGTGCACCCCCCGACACCGGTATCTCCAGCAAAGCCATGGGTATCATGAACTCGTTTGTCAACGATGTCTTTGAACGCATCGCGACCGAATCCTCGCGGCTCGCGCACTACAACAAAAAATCCACCATCAGCTCTCGCGAAATCCAGACCGCCATTAGGTTACTGTTACCGGGCGAACTCGCAAAACACGCAGTAAGCGAGGGTACAAAAGCAGTCACCAAATATACAAGCAGCAAGTGAACTGCCCGACCTCACAAACAAACGGCTCCTTTAGGAGCCAACACATGTCATGAAAGTAAATGTCCAACATTGTTGTTGTTTTTGTTGTTGTTCTTGTTGTTGTTCTTGTTGTTGTTCTTGTTCTTGTTCTTGTTCTTGTTCTTGTTGTTGTTCTTGTTCTTGTTCTTGTTCTTGTTGTTCTTGTTGTTCTTGTTCTTGTTGTTCTTGTTCTTCTTGTTGTTCTTGTTCTTGTTCTTGTTCTTGTTCTTTTTTTTCTTTTTCTTTCTTTCTTTCTTTCTTTCTTTCTTTCTTTTTTTTTCTTTCTTTCTTTTTTTTCGAGGTACGTAAATGTTGGAGCTCAAGCAGATCGATCAGGAAGGAACTCTAAAAATACTTCTCGCCAAAAAGAGTTTTGACCGATTTCCCTTTCACTGTTCACAGATTTGGTGCCAAAGCGAGAACTGTTTTTAGACTTACTAAAATTTCTTCCGAATGAAATCAAAATTCCCGACCCAAAAAAAATTTTATATTTCCCAGAATGCATTGCGAAAAAAAAGCCTCATTAATATGTATTACATCCTTCCCCAGTTGTTGTTGTTCTTTTTTTTCCATTTCGAATCTCTGATTTTTATTCAGTCAAACTCAGTTTCAGTGAACATGTTTTGCTGGTGCGAATGAGTTATTAATCTAGTACAAAAGGCAGGTGCATGGGGGCGTATCCGTTGGTAATAGCTAACTTGCTTTTGGCAAGTAAGGAACATGAAAAAAGGCAACAACATTGAATTAAAAGTCGGAACCAATTATACGAACGACTGAAAGCGCAATTGGAGACCTTTATGTTTGTCTGGTACAAACAAACACACGCTGTTACCGAACGGTAATAACGTAGAGATTGAGGTAATTGCGCCTGCTTAAAAAAGAGGCTCTTGTTCTTGTTCTTTGTTTTTTTTTTTTTTTTTTTTTTTTTTTTTTGCCAAGTAAGGAACAAGAAAAGACAGCGGCAATGAATTGAAACGTCGTTACAAATTATACGAACGGCTGAAAGCGCAAAATGGTGACCTTTATGTTTGTCTAGTTCGAGCAAACTCACGGAAAACGCATCAAAACAGTTGACCTCCGTCGCTGCTCACTTTCTGTCAAATTTTTGTCGCGAATCAAACCGAGAGTCGATCGCTCGCTTTTTGTCTACGTCGACATTTTTTTTTCTGCAGAGGCAGGTCACCTTTGGAGATGTGGTCATTGATTTTCTCTGTTGCTTCATGACAATAATGCGAGTTTTTCACTCACGTAACAAAAACCACGAAAATGAAACAACAACCACAACAAAACGAAACAGAACACACACAGAAAAAAATTAAAGACGTGCGAAAGGAGATGGGCTGCTCATTGACCTTTAGGTTAGTGGTGGCTCCTAAAGGAGCCGTTAGTGTTTGTTCGATGACCAAGCGACTGTACTAAGCCCGCTCGCCACGAATCCTTCGAGCCAACTGGATATCCTTCGGCATGATGGTTACGCGTTTGGCGTGGATGGCGCACAGATTGGTATCTTCGAACAGACCCACCAAGTAAGCTTCGCTAGCCTCTTGGAGCGCTAGTACAGCGGAACTTTGGAATCGCAGATCGGTTTTGAAATCCTGCGCGATCTCCCGCACAAGCCGTTGAAAGGGCAACTTGCGGATAAGTAACTCCGTAGACTTCTGATAACGACGGATTTCACGGGTGCAACTGTGCCTGGTCTGTAACGGTGAGGTTTCTTCACGCCACCCGTAGCGGGAGCACTCTTGCGGGCCGCCTTAGTGGCTAACTGTTTACGAGGAGCTTTTCCACCTGTTGATTTCCGGGCGGTTTGCTTGGTACGAGCCATAGCTAACAAGATTGGAGGCTTCAGTCTCGTAATTTCTTCAGAAATTTTACGCTTTTCTCGCGATCTCCTGTGACAAAACCGATTTTATAACAAGCGCTCAACGATCCGATTGGTTATCAAAGTTTGCTTGTGATTGGCTGCGGTGAATTTCTTTG